AGTCAACAAATTCGTCAGGGTCGTTGCATGCCTTCTCGTGGCGCTGGTAGCCACGGCCGCCCTCGCGGCAGTAGTCCTGCTCCTGCAAGGATACATCGTGGTGGCATTTACTGTGGTTACTGGAGTATCCGTTGTGCGGTTCCTCAAGCTGTACAAACCCAGACCGCCAGCTGAAACGCCTCTTGTAGCAGTAGCAGTACCAGCAGCAGGAGCACAGCACCCATCGCAGTTCCTGCAAAACCATTGGAACTAGCTTGCACCACGCGCTTCGCTGCGGGTAGGCCAAATTATAAAAGGTGTATATGTCTGCAGTCCTTCAGAGTTGCACAAAGCAAAAGGCCAAATTAGTATGTTTTACATATTTCAGGTACATAATCTACCAAATGACAGTAATGCTTTGTGGAGGATACAAAAATTGCATTGAAACAATAGCTAAGCCTCCAGCTGAAGTCTGCATCGAGCATTCTGCACAGCTCGTTAGTCTTTTGAGTCTCTAAGACAGATTCGTCATCTTCCTCTATACAGTCCCTGTGTCAAAGGAAATGGCATGGTTAAAAATCAGAATGCGGTGTCAAGATATTTTAGTACAAATATCACAAGAGCACACTATGATTGGGAGAAGCAGATCAAAGGCTGGGTCCTTTTTCCCCAACATCTATAAACAACTTTTGTTCATAACTACTGAGTCATATTGCCTCTGGATTAAAAAAAAAACTATCAACATGAAACAGACATTATATACCTAAGGAATGATCGGAGCATTTTTTTAGCAGCTAGCAGGCAATTGAGTACCTGCAAAAAGTACATAGTAGGAGGCTTTTTAAGAGCACATAACATAGGCTATGTAATCTGAAAGTAGAATATAATATGTTGGAGATCCACATAATTCAATGGAGGGACTCTTCAGTCAATATCGTCATGCATTTATTGATGCAATACTTATGACTGGGTGGCATAATTTATATTGAGTGAAAACAAAATAGGACTTTTGAATGGCATTTCTTTTCAACCAATAAGAGTGAAAACAAAATAGGACTTTTGAATGGCATTTCTTTTCAACCAATAAGAGATTCTTACCTTTAGTGCGGTGTAGGAAAGCGGCTATTTGTTCAAGTATTTTTTCTGCTACAGACTATGGTGAGGTTCTTTATCGTTCCTTGCAGTGGTTGACTGGCTGTAGGTTGCCTTTTGTGGAAACAGAAATCACATTAGATACATGAGCAGTCAGAATCTAGAAATGGGGGAAATGGTCAACCCGTCATTGATTTCTCTGTTTATAGTCTGAAGATGTTATTTTACTGCATGTCTCAAACTCAGAGGCATTGTTTTTGAGGCGTCGCCTAGGCGACAAGGCGTGGCAGAGGCTCTAGGCGTCAAGGGCGCCACGACCTACACTCGTATGGCGTCTGCTTAATCGAATTTGGCATCGCCTAGGCGTAGAAAGGCGTCGGACGGACGCCTACAGCCCCGCCATGGACGCCAGATGCTAATTAGCGAGGGAAGGGCGCGAAATCGACCACAGGTCCGCGGGAAATCGACCGCACTTCCGCGCCGCGGGGGAAGGGTGCGAAAATGACCGCGGCCCGCGGAAAACCAACCGTGCGTCCGCCCCTAGCGCGGGAACTGTGACCTAGATAGGCTCTTCGCACGAGAAATCTACCGCGCAAGGCATTTACCGCGAATGCGGGTGAGGGAGAGAGAAGGCGGCAGACGGACCTTGAGCTCTGCTTTGCTGCTCCTTTGCTCGACAACTCGAGTCCATCGGCCAGCCGCCCCTTCCGAGGAGCCGCCCCTGCATCTTTGCTTGGTCGTCCGCACCTGCCGTGGAGCCGCTCTAGCATCTCCGCCGCTGCAGACATCGGCCATCCGCATCTCCACGTCCGCCGTGACTGTCTACCTCCATCGGCCGTCCGCCTGTCCACAGCTGCCCGTTCATCTCGTGTCTCCACCTCCGCCGGCCGTCTGCCGTCCGCCTAGTATGGCCCTCCCTTCTCTTTGTTCCTCTGTTCCGCCTGGTATGCCCCTGCCTCCTCTCTGTTCCCTCTGCCTGGTATGACCCTACCTGGTGCCTGGTATCCCGTCACTGCTCTGAGTATTGTAGTATTTAATGCCTCGTGCTCTGCTTTTGCTCATGCCGCGTGCGCCTTGCTCGTGCTCTGCTTTTATATTACTGAGCCGTCTTTCTTTAGTGTTACTCACATATACTAATGTCTGCTTGTGCTTGGACTGCCACATACACTGCTACAGCAACATGGATTTGATTAGTATACACTTGCTTTGATTAGTTTACAGTTGCTACAGCAACAGGTCTTTCTTTGATTAGTATACACTTGCTTTGATTAGTATGTTACTGATTAGTAGTGCTCCCTTAGCTGTGCAAATTTGCTCTTTTCCTAAGGAACATGGGCTCAAGAATTGGCAACAAACGAGGTATACAATATGTGTATGGCGTCGCCTAGGCGTTGTGAAGGGGGTCGGGCGCCGCGCCTCGCCACGGCGCATCAAAAACATTTATCAGAGGAAGTCAATGCACTTACAAAAGGACCTGCCAAAATGGTGTGCACACCTGTGCACGTCATCGGACCTTCTTGGTAGCAATGGATGTCAAGGGATAATGAAAAGAGGTATCAACACTCCATAGCAACCTTCACAAATAGTAGATGAAAGCTCATAGGTCATCTATAGGTGATGTGATGCAACTAACCTGCAAGAACAATTTCAAATTAGACAATGACACTGTAATCTTTCACCAGTATGTAACACACGCATGACTACACAAATATATGCACCAAATCTTTTATTCGTATTGGAATCTTTCCACAATAAACTTGTAAGAACATGCCATTTAGCAATGACCTACATCAAGGAAAAAAAGGAAAAATCCAAGATATATTCATGTACACCACTGCCAATTATGGAGGTCACCACCCTAGAATCCCGACGTGGCTGCGCGAGTGGGGGGCGAGCGGCCGTCACCAAAAAATCACTCCCTAGTCTTTGCTTATCTAACTAAAAAGCATTCATGTATGAAAAGACAAATAAAATTTCTTTTTTGTAGGCATAGATCACTAAAAATTAAGCAACATAGTTAACTTTTGTATTAAATAAGGCACATATAAAAGGTGCATATGTTTTCATTCCCTGTATTTACAGTAGAGTTGCACAAAGCAGAAGGCCAAAATTTACCCTGTTTATATTTACACTTCTCTTGCGAACAGTGGTTAATATTTACATGATATAACCAAACCAACTTCTCGCTGAACTGTTTAGTATCATTACTATTCAGGAAATGGTTGTATCAAGGTAGGTAGGTAGTGTTCTTTCTTTTAGCTCTAGCAGTTAAAGACATCATGCCTGTATCAGTTGCCATGCTCACATGTGAACCACAAAATGAAGATGCAGAGGCTGGAAGCAGCAGTACAAAATCTAGAAAGATGACAGGAATTATAATATAGGGGTGCCTAACACACTAACAAAATGGTGCCTGACATGACATTGTTAGGCTAAATAGTAAGCACAATGATCACCTGTAGCTGGATTACATTTGTCAGCTTTCATGTAAGATATTACTGCTGTGACAAATGAGAGAAAATACCCCAAACTATGTTTAAAGGTCATCAACTTATTGTTAAAAAAATAGGCAACCATTACGAATTTGAACGGCAAAAATGTAGATACCCATTAGTGGGTTACATATATCATGAAGCAAAAATGATTTCTTAAGAATGTAACTCAAGACTATAATTTATATGTAAAGTAGCGAAGCACTGATAAATGCACTGACCTGAACAAATATGAGTTAGAGAATTAGTATGTGTTACATATTTCAGGTACATGTAAAGTAGTGAAGCCCTGATAAATGCACTGATCTGAACAAACATGAGGTAGAAAATTAGTATGTTTACATATTTGAGGCAAATGATCTACCAAACGATACTAAATATTTTGTGAAGAAATGGAAAAACTGCATTGAAACGATTGGTAAGCCTCAACCTGAATTCTGCATTGAGCATTCTGCACAGCCCGATAGCCTTTGACTCTCTAAGACAGATTCATCATCTTCCTCAATGCAGTCCCTATGTCAAAGGAAACAGCATGGTTAGAAATCAGAATGTGGTGTCATGATATTTCAGTACAAATTTCATGAAAGCACGCTATGATTAGGAAAAGAGGCAGATCAAATGCTAGACCCTTATTTTCCAAATATCTGCAAATAATTTTTATCTACAACTACGAAGTCATATTATCTCTGGATAAAAAAAACTATGTACATGAAACAGACACTATATACTTAAGGAATGATCGAAGCGTTTTTTTTAGCAGCTACCAGGCAATTGAGTACCTTCAATTCAGCACAAGTACAACCTGACCGCAGAAATATTGTCGATCGCATGACAACAGTACAGCGGGCAGGGACTCACCACAAATGGCATTCATTTGGTTGATGTAAGGGATAAATGGCCATGAAAATATGTCTTCCTTTTGCTATGAATCCTTGTCTTCAGAACTGGATACGGATTTGGGAGGTATCTGTACACAGCAATAGATGGTGTAACAGAGATAAGCACAGTGGGATACCAAAGGACATAAGAAACCACAATGGGAAATTAGATAGCATGAAAGAGAAGTATTACTCAGAATAGAATAAAACCAACTGTGTAAAACTTGCCAAATAGATCCCAAATATGCAACTGAACTGGCAGTATAAACAAAATAAACAGGTATACAGAGATACATAAATGGGAATGTTTGCTTAAGTAGCTATACTGGCAATGACAATACCAATGAGACATAAGTGCATAGTGTCTCGATAAAAAAAATATGAACATGAAACTTACATTGTGTACCTAAGAAATGATCGAAGCATTTTTTTTTTAGCATCTAGCAGCCAATCGAGTACCTGCAATTGAGGACAATTATGACCTGACTGCAGAAATGTTGATAATTTCACGACAACAATATAGGGGGCAGGGACTCACCAAAAACGGCATTCATTTGGATTATGGATGGGATAAATGACCATGATCCTGTGATAGTGTCTGTACTTTTATGCAGCATGTGTAGATATCTTCAGGTTGTAGCCTCATTGGAGAAACATTAATGCATAGATGGTATGACAAAGAAGCAAAGTATGGGGAGGGGCTTTCCAAGAAACGAAACGAGCTGAAGCATACCCCTCTCTGCGAACACAAATAAAAACATTTATGTGCATCTTGAGGTTGTAGCCTCATTGGAGAAACTTTAATGCATAGATGGTATTACAAAGAAGCTAAGTATGGGGAGGGGCTTTCCAAGAAACAAAATGAGATGAAGCATACGCCTCTCTGCGAACACAAATTAAAACATCTGTGGTCCAATTTTGAAAGACATGGAACCTTGTTTATGATGAGGCAACGAACCAAGCTCGTAATGGTCTTCAGGTGGTGAGATCAAAAGTAAGCTAAGGAGACTATATATATGTATCCGTACGGTTTCCATGATTCAAAAGGTAGGTGGGCTTCTCCCCCCTGCAGCAGAGTGGTACGTCCTTGATGTGTGAGCGCAGATCTGGTAGTATGAAACCAAAGAAACACATCATCACCAAAGCATAGGAGGCGTTCAATAGGAAGAGGATGCAGAGGAGGCCGTGACTGCGTGAGGTCTGACCTGGGCGAAATCGGTGGCTAGGGTTTCCTCGAGAACATCCGCAGACTCCATCTGCAAATCGGCATCAACAGCGAAGGGGAGGAGCCACGTCGTACGCGCACAGGCACGAGCGGCGTGACCTAGGTCGACGCCGCCGCCGCTCCGGGGCCGCTGACGTAGGACGACGTGGCGGGAAGCACTCATGTTTGGTTGTCGCGCCGCCGGGGTCGCTCGCGCGGGTGACGCGGCAGGGGTCGCCGGTGCTGGGGCCTTCACGCTGGGGGCTGCTCGCGTCGGGGTCTTCCCGCATCGGTGGGGAGAGACGGAGGCGGAGATCGTGGCGAGCTGCGGCGGCGTCGCAGCATCCGACAGGGGCAACGATGGTGCGCGGCGTCGTCGGGGGCGGGGCTGGGGCGACCACGGCGTGGGGGTGGGAGCGGCGGAGGCGGCACTCGTGGGAGCAGGAGACGAGGGAGGCGGGTGATGGGAGATTGGGGAATTTTTACATATATAGGGCTCGTTTAGATCCAATTTTTTTTTTGGTTTTTTTTTTTTTTTTTCTACGATAGTATTTTTGTTTGTATTTAGTAATTAGTGTCTAATTATGGATTAATTAGGTTTAAAAGTTTCGTCTCGTGATTTTTCACTCAACTATGCAATTAGTTTTTTTTTCTATTTAGTACTCCATGCATATGCCGTAAGATTCGATGGGATAGATCAAAAAATTTTAGAACTAAACAGGCCTTTAATATAAGTTGTATAAAAAAATATCGTATCAGTCACTCATGGATCAGTGACTGAGATACAATCCGTAACAGTAGTAAACATGTAAATGCCGCGGAGATTGGGAGCGGCGGCCGGTCGAGCGTAGGGCCCTTTTTTTTCTGCCGGGCCGGGGAGTGGAGGGCAGCGGTGGAGCGGCGGCAGCCGGATGGGACGGACACGACGGTGAGGAGGCAGGAGGAACGGACGGCTGGGATGCTGTGCAACAGTGTTGAACAGTGCACCAGCGGATCGTGGTCCCAGAAACTAAAGGTTTGTACGATGACGACGTTGTGCTGTGGCCGGGGCTCTACCCGGCCATGTTTGGAGCGCTAATGGCAGTCTACTCCCAGCAGAACAATTGTCAACCCATGGGGAAGCTGTACAAGACGACGGTCTTCTTCGCATTCCTGGCCATAGTCAGCAACCTTGCCCGAATGATCATCTTAAGGGCTCGTTCTTTGGCATGGAACGAAGTCAGGAACCATTCTTGAAGGAAGCTTATACAAATTAGACACCTAATCCGAGCTGGATTAGTTCCAGGCCACCGTTCCTCAGGATCCGAACAGGCCCTAAGGGAAGGAGGGCGGCGAAACAAGATGCGGGTCGTTTCTGTGGGTGTAACAATTGCTTCTATGGCACTGGCGCTGATCTTTATAGTCCTCGTGTTGCTTGAGCGCGATGAGGTAAGGAATACCTTCATCTCGTCAGGAAGCTACGGTGGCTAGCCAGTAGTAGTAAACCAGCTTGTGTACCGGCCGGGGAGTTCAGACAAGCAGGACCCTTACGATCCTTTGTGGGTAGGACGACAGGTGCAGCCATGATCAACCACTCATAATCGCTCTGTTCGCTTGGTCGTAAACGATCATAAATTTTCAGTTAGAACGGTATTTTTTTCTCACACTAAATCAGCCAGCAGTACTTCTTCACGAACCAGCAACGATCCAGCCCAGCCAACCGAACAGGCTGAATAACAGGTTATTTTTTGCTATTTTCTTCACAACCTGCATGTAAATATAGAATGTTATTTGTAAATCTTCTCTGATGTCTCAATCTGCAACGATTGTATGCCAGTTGATAATTGATACAACTCATGCTGTGTTGATTTATAACCCATCACTACTGTACTGGTAATCATTTTACTTTCAGAATCCTTCCATTGTTCATTTGTAGCATTTATGTGTTGTTCACTTAAGGCCCCATTCGCTGGTCTAAAACTTGACAGGAAAACACTGTTCCGGCTAGTTTGTTGCGAGATAAAAATACTGTTCGGCTGGTTTGATAAACAGTGACTTAAGAGGGGGAGCAGCTGACTGGCTGGTCTGAACCAGACCAACGAACAGCCCCTTAAGTTGGGAAGCCCTAGGCCCTCAAGAGTTGCAACTGGAACATAAATGTTGCCAAAAGAAAATGGTTGTTTGGCTTGCGATCAGTTTCTTTGCTGTTCAGCCCTCAAAAACAAAAGTTTCTTTGCTGTTCAGTCCCTCCAGCATACACTGATAATCATTGAACCTCTCAGATATATGGAACAGATCTTATAAGCAGAATATACGTTCTAAACTTTAACCTAAACACGAATGAATGTTCAGCTGGTATAGTTCCAGCTTGTTTCAGCTTATTCTCTCTCACATAATACTATTCAATCATCAAAAAAAAATCCAAAAAACACTGTACAGCAGACCATCCGAACGAGCTGAATGTGCCTTCCTCAATTATCTCAAAAACATGAAAGATCGTACAACTGCATGACTAGTCGAATACCAACCACAAAATATATCTAAAATTCCCTCGTTATGGTCAGCCAGTAAATAGGAACCTAATAGGACTGCCTGGACGCAAGTATAATAAGGAGAGAAAGCACTCACAACAACAGAGGGGCAAAAATAAAACAGCTGCAGAAGTGTGTACATACAGGAAACTTAAAACTCTTGAAAACCTATGAATGGTTACAAATAACATTGAATTTATGAACAATGGATAAGATGTCAAACTTAGGAAAATAGTATAAATAGAGGGTTTTTTTACACAAACTCCAGATTAAAAAAAAATTTAAAAGCATGCGAGTGAGAAAAGCTTGACGAAAAGTCACCAATAAAGGCTACTCTCTTGTTTCATTTTGCTCTCAGGAAAATCACTCTAAAACTACAGGAAAATGTAATCAAGATAATAAGAAAGAAAATCGTTGGAACCCAGCTCCTCTGTTTTTTCCTCTCCTCCTTAGATGGAATTAGACCTAAGCATGTTGGATAGTAATAATTGATATATGAACGTAGAAAGCAGTATAAACATTAGGCCATTCAATAATAGTCAATAGGAGGTCCTGTTTATTCCATCCCCTTTCTAAAAATCATAAATTACTACAATCCAGCAAGTAGATTTCTCCACCCAGTCTGGATCATCTATTTACAATAATCATTGCAGTATATCCCCCATTGCTACCTAGTAATATCATCCTACATACGGTGCATATCTGGCTTGCTCGGAAGAGCTTGCTGCAGCAAGCACACTTGGAATCACTTTTCTTCTATATAGGAAATAAACAGCAGCTGCTGCACCCCACTGTGCTACTAGCACAGCTGAGCGAGCTCGCATCAGCAAGCCGTTGTTCTGCAGAGTATTATTAACCATATAGCATAGCACATCCACTTGAGTAACAATTGGAAAGTAATGGCTGATTGTAGGAAAAGAAATCGTTTAAGTAAGAAGTGCAAAGTTAGTAGCCATACGAATTCCCCAAATGCATTGCTTCTGGCATGCCTTGAATAGAAGAATTGCAAGAAAATAAATTACAGCACATTTATATACACAAGGAACAGATAATGATGCATCCTAACACAATTTGCATCAATCAATCTTGAGTCCAACAACAAAGGATAAAAGAAGTTGTTCTTATTTATTTGTTCTTCCATTTGAATTCGACGAATTTTGCTACTGCTCAAAGGTATAATGCTTGACGCACGCACCAAGGAACAGCAGGAAGAGATCCTGATCCCCCTAGTCCCCAACCCCCTAAAACCGCAGTTGCAGACAGATATATATACAGAAGCGGTTCTCAGGTAGACGGGCAGGAGGAAGAGGAAGTAAATCAAACCCCACGGATGATCAGCAGACGGTGGGGACGAATCGCAGAGCGGCGACTCGGGCGGAGAGGAGGCCCGCGAGCCTGCGGACGGCGAACTGGGTGCAGTTTGAGAGCGCGATCAGGCACATGAGCTCGTAGACGACCTCGATCGCCGCATCCGCCGCGGACCTCCGGGGCGCCGGCACATCGGGCTCCCAGTCGCCGGGGCCCTCTGATCCGGAGCCGAAGCCGCTGTTCCAGTTCCACCGTCCTCCTCCTCCGCCGTCGCCGCCGGATCCTCCGAGGCCGGGGCCGTCGTTGCCCGAGAAGTAGTCGCCCGCGTCGGTGGGGGGCTTGGACCGCCCCGTCCGGGGGCGGGGGCGCGCGCGGCGGCGGACCGTGACGGTGGCCGAGGAGGATGGGCGGCGGCGGATGGTGGTGGAGGAGGACGTGGCGGGGTGGGTCGATGACGAGGCGAGCAGGCGCAGGAGCAGCGGCCTGGCGGGCGGGGAGGAGGCGGCCGCCGCGGCGGAGGCGGAGATCTCCATGGGCGGCCGGAGGGTTGGTACGCTCGACGCGGAGCGGGGGGAGACGTGTGTTGGCGAGCTCGTGCAGAGGGCCTGCGGTCGCGTGCGGTGGAAGGGACTACTAGGGAGCAAAGGTGGCCCAGCGGGACACGACACGCGGCGGGGAACAACAACGGGCCTGTGTGTGGGCCGGAGCTCACTAGAGCTGCGTGTTTGGATTCTCTCCTCTTCTTGGGAACTGAGGATCTTCTTGGTGGCGGAACTGGTGGTTGCTAGGTGGCCGGCCGGTGACCGCTCGCTCTACGGCTGGCACAAACAGGCTCAATCAGCTTTGCGAAATAGTTTTACTTCGTTGGTAGGTGACTTTATATTAACTGCGTTACATGAAAGGAATCGGAATCTATATTATCGCCAGAGACGTATCAGCACAGGTAGTCTGATCAAATAAAAGATACAGAAAGCATGATCGAATACGTATTGGAGTCGGACTTTGTATCTATATCGCTAGATACGAATTGTTCTAACTAATCTACTACAACCTAAAAAACAACTAACCGTATCGTTTTATCACCCGCCACCATGCCTCTTCCGTAAAACAAAATCTTCCGAGCCCTTCCTCCGTATAGGAAAAAAAAAACGACGGAGCCCCCGCTCCCGTTTTTCTCGTTAACTAACCATATCGTCTTATCACCCGGCCGCAACGCCCCTTCCGTAAAAAAAAAAAATCATCCAAACCCTTCCTCCGTAGGGAAAAAAACGCCGGAGCCCCCACTTCCGTTTTACCTGTTCAGAGTCCACGACGTTAAAAGAGGTATCGTCGTTTGCAAATCCTGCATGCCCACATGCAAACATGCACGAAAAAAAAAAATCCCCTGACCCTATAGAGTCCAGATCGACTTCGTCAATTACTATGACAATTAAAAAAACACACCAATACACTTTACACCAGATTATAAAAAAATACACTTTACACCAATACAGTAATGCACGAGGCCTTTGCGGCGCTAATGTAGAGGTGGCAGCGGCCATGACCAGCTCAACGGCACTACTGCCCCTTCAACGCTGTGGCCATTGCCGCTGGTGCTGATGATGACGCGGACATGCTGGCGATCCTTGACACGGTGTGCGCGTGGCGACGTAGACAATAGACCCAGAGACCTTCGACGTGAGCTTCGTCACTACCCTGAAGATGATTTACCAGAACATGACGTGCTCGGGCTTCGGTATCACTGGCTCCGGCAAGGGCAACAACACCATGTTCGGCCTCGGTGTCGGTGTTTGATAACCGACAACCCATCACGGGGTACCCGGGATAGTGTTCGGTGGGTTTCGACGAACTCAGGAACTCGACGGTGAACGCAAAGAGACGGCGATTTATACTGGTTCGGATCCTCGTAATCGAGTAATAGCCTTTACGTCCAGTCAGTGTGAGCCTTTTGCGTTGGATTGATTGTATGATTGTTAGGGTACAAGGGGGTGCACCGTGCCTCTCATTATATAGGGAGAGAGGGCAGGGGTGCGTCTCTAGTCCTAGTCGGTTACGATAGAAGAGTCCTAATTCTATTACAAAATCTTGCTTTCCTAATAAGCCGACTAGGTCGGTCCTTGATAGCTTCAAGTCCACGCCACCTTGCTCCGTGTCCTTCAAACATACCGTGGGTCAGCCATGGGCCCACCATAGAAGTCGACCCGATAGGGAACCACTAGGGTCCTACATCGACAAGCCCCCGAGCGTTTTATGGTTGAACTTGGAAACCTTCTTGTTCCTTCAGGTCTTGCCGAGTAGAAACAAGTATTGTCCGAGTGCTTTCTATAGAGAAACCATGGAGTGCACTTGAGAACTCCGAGTGATGTGCACTTTCCTGAAAAGTGTACTCACTGAGTGTAGCCCTCGAGCCTCTTGCTGTTTGGAACAAAGAGTTGGAGGGTCTTTTATATAAATTCTTAAAAAAGAATAAAAATCATCCTCTGAGGATATGTATCCAGCAGCCCTCGAGCCTGTGTCTGAGTAGTAGTAGTCGGCGCTAGGATCTGAAAAGAATACGCTTGGGGATGTCAAAGAAATTATTGCCTTACTTGTCAGAAAGTAGGTAAGGCAATGTCTAGTGCCCGTGAAGAGTAAATTCAAGCTAACATAGGAGTAGTATATGCTCCGAATATGCCACCCAAGTATACTGTAGCATCACGTGCACTGTCCGGATGCACTGTAAAGGTGTAGTGGGAGGCCACTGTACCCTTTGTAGTGCAGTAAATAGACTTGTACTAAACAACAGGAGCTGTCGACTCCACTGTCCATGAACCCGGTCCATGAGCACCATGTTTGGCCTATAAAAACCCTCCTAGCGAGCTCTTGCATATTAGTTGGGGAAAAGCAAAGCAACTATGAGTCTATAGCAATGAATATGGTGGTGTGTGAAGTAGAGCAGCCCCTAGGTGTTGTAGATAGGAGGAGTAAACCATATGGCAGGTAGAAGAAGTCTTGTGATAGAGACTAAAAGCAGGCTAGTCTCACAGTGGTGCAAAACAGAATGGTCTGGTGAGGGAGGTAGAAGAAGCCTTGTGATGAGAGACATGTTCCCTCATCCAGCAGTCCCATGTTAGTTCTTCGAGTGTGCCTATCAACGTCTGTCCATTGACGATCAACCGCTGATCCGAGTGGTGGTAGCATAGTTGGCTTTGGTAGACAGATGTTGGAAGAAGCGCTGTTGCTACCCAAACCCAGTAGACCAGAAAGTTTTGTACCATTGACACCATTCCTAGATGCACTGCGTTGTCATAATGAAAACTATGGTAGCGAGTCGGATGTGCCCTACCGAGTAGTAAGTACAAGCTTTGATCTAGAAAATGGTTACTAAAACCACGTAGTCAGAAGCTTGTAAAGTGTCAAACCCTATATCCATTAAGCTATTGTTGAATAAAAATTCTTCAACCGAGTACTGTGTGAACTGTCCGAGTACGTCATGATGTGGCCATGTAGTCAATGGTCGTATCATGGTAGGTACCCGGTAGGTGTGAACTCAAAGGATAAATCTAAGCAGAGTGCGACGCGTTTGAGATCATGAAAAGGCGTGCGGACGTTGTTTCAAACTGCGTAGCCACATTAAAATGGAAGGGAAACTGAAATGCCGCACCCATTGGCATGATTATCGGGGCGCATTATTGTGGAAACCCTATATAAAAAGGGAACCATTCCGGACCATCATCTCCCCCAGCTTCATTTGCTTTCTACCTTAGCCCCCGAGCGACCGTGAGCGCTTTGCAATCTTGCTTTTATAAACCCTAGTTCTATAAAAAAAAGCTCTGCTTGATGGGTAAGGGTAAGAACTCGAGCGCCTCCGCCAAGAAGACTGCCAAAAAGAGGGTGCTAGAAGTGTCGGAGATGGCCACCGCCGCCCAGATCTGGTCGGCGGCGAGCACGAAGCCGAAACACCTCCAGAAGCTCCACGACCAGGGCTACTTGCCGGACCAAAAGCTTGGCGAATGGGGGGGCGCCTGGAGAGCACCGTATTCCAAGCCTTGAGTCGAGTGAGATCATCCTCTTTGCGCCATTCATCTACATGGGTTTTTGCACTATTATGGCATAACCCTGAACCATCTAAACCCAAATTCCATCTCGCATCTATCGATCTTTGTCCACCTTTGTGAGACTTTCCTTGGCATCCCCCTTCCATCACTCTGTTTCACTATTTCTTTAAGCTGAAACCGCATCCAAACGCGGCAAATCCTGGTGTTTTGGGGGGCGCTGGTATCCAATTCTGGTTGGGGAAGAAAAATGAGTATCTCCATTATACCTTGGTCGATTCTGTGAAGAACTGGAGGTGGCTATTTGAATAGATTTAATAAACTCTGTAGAGGTGTATAAATTTCCCCACACGATAGGTGCAACCTCATCCATGATTAGTGGATGAAATAGACCTAACGATACCTCATACTCGAATGTACGTGACCTTAGATGTCCATATAGCTCTACTATGGCTTCTCAGGGGTTAGAAACACAAAACCGAAAAGATACCAAATCCCCCCAAACATGATGATACCAAATCATTACAAAAGAAAACAAGGCTCGAACACGACCAAGAAAACAGTGGCTCGAACGCGGCCTAAAAACCAAAAGCTTACCGTGGAAGAGCACATAGCATCCACGCCAACCGAACACGGAAGAAAACCTAGCCCCTATATTGTCTCCTGATATTCCGCTGCTGACACCAGCCTCCTAGTAGATATTATACTTCTATCTAACGGGGTGTGAGATCAAGCCTACCCAAATAGACATGTGGCTGTACGAAATAACTCACTAGGCGAGAGGGACTATGAACCAGTCCTTATGTGACCGAGGTGAGTATCTACCACAGGAATCCTCCCCAGGCACCCCTGCCATGATAAACTACCTCCATAGTTTACCACTACTCGCCCAATATTGGGGTTTAGTTTCAGGTTTAGCAAGTTTTAAGTGTCATTATTATCCCTAAATCTAGTCATGGTGTGGAGCTCATAAAATAACAAGATAACCCTTTTATCTTAAACATGTCGCATTAACCGAGCTCATTTTCTAGGGTAATAATCTCATAGTCATGTTTTAGCATTTCAGTGGTTTAAAGCAAGATGGTAGGGAGTAGGAGCTAGGACTTGCCTTCATTGTTGTCACCTTCTGGCAAGTCTACGAAATTTGGGTCTTCGTCCTCCTAACGATTATCATCGTCTGTCGGATGTATCGATCAAATAAGACTACCGCTATCCGCAAAAGAAAAGGCAAAAGCAAACATAGAACTATACGGTGGCACTAGGTGCAAATGGTAGGGTTTGATTTTAGATGAATTTTAGAAGTGGTTTGATGTGAAAAGGAGTTAGGGTTTAAAAGTTATGTATTTTAGAAGTTTGAGAAAGTCTTAGACTTTGCCACAGCTTTTGATCTAATGATAGCTAACACTTTCTTCCATAAGAGACTATCCCATTTAGTGACCTTTAGTAGCGGCTAGTTCTCTAGTCAAATCGACTTTGTCCTTACAAGAAGGAGGGATAAA